TATCCCTACATCTCCCCTTTTTGTCTAAATAAGACAGAACTAAACCAAATACAACTATATACAATAATAACAAATAATAAATATAACAAACAATATTGAGAACAAAAGTTTTGCTAAACATTCTACCTCAAGGAGTCTAAATATGTAGAGAGTAACTACAATTATATAATCTTCAACTCCGTCAAAGATCTGAGAAGGGAATAAATATTACTTAACAAATGAGATATATCCAAAATGTGCAACAATTGACAGAGACAACTGACTACCTGGGCAATCACCCAAAGTTTCGTTTGCAATGTTGAGTCAACCAACTTTGGCAGCAATCTGTACAGATGGTCCTCATTCCCATAAGAAAACAGGCTGAGAAAGCCATAGGGAACAGGCCAATAAGAAGTAATGCTCCTTGGCCTCTCTCTCTCTCTCTCTCTCTCTCTCTCTCTCTCTCTCTCTCTGTGTGTGTGTGTGTGTGTGTGTGTGTGTGTGTATGTGTATTTGTGAAAGACAAGAAAGATATGTACAGGTCAGAGACACCATCTGGGAGTTGGTTTAAATCTCCTATCATGGATTCCAGAAATGGAATTCAGGTTATCAGACTTGTATGGAATATGGTCCTAGGTGCAGAGCCATTTCAATGGCCCTTTCCCCATGTTTTCTTTCCATTAAAAAATAAAAACAGAAGTGTTTTTTTTATATTTCTCTCCCTCCCTAAATAAGCAAATGCTTGTAAAATGCTAGCTAGTAAGGAAAACGTAGGGCTGTACATGAGCTTGGGGGTAGTGTGAGCTTGCCTCATACATGGGTCCAGAAGAAATCATTATATATTCCCTGTTCTTTGATTTATTCTCATGTGTTGTATATAACCATATATAGGCCTATAGGGAATTTTCTTCAGAATTTAAGATTTCTTATAACTTAACACTAGAATGACAGCCCAGTGAAACAGAGGGCAATAAATGGATCTGAAGAGAAATTTTGTTAGTATTCAGGCACACCCTCACACAGCACCTCACACCATCTGCCTGGCTGTATAGCAAATGGTATCCTGTCCCTTTAAGAGACCCTCCGTTCACTCTCAGTCTCTCTAGTGCTCTCCCTCGCTTCCTCCCTCCCTCCCTTCCCTCTCTCTCTTCTTCTCTTTTTCCCCCACTGAGGAAAGCAGGTCTCAGCCTCTTTTCCGTCTCCCTCCTCCCTCTCTCTCGGTTTCTCTTTCTCTCTGTCTTTTCCTCCCATCCCTTCCACACCACTACACCGCCCCTTTTAATAAAACTTTGCACCCATTCTTCATCTACATGGCATATTTGTCTGTCCCTTACCAGCCGTGGGTTGAACCTCACCCACATGCCATGGGACCTGGAAAGATTTCCAAATGTCCCACTGGCACACTGGAAGATGTTCAACACCATCAGCCGTCAAGTGTTGCAAATCAAATTTCAATGAGATGATACTTGATATCATTAAAATGGTGAAAATACAAAATATAAGTCAGTCCTGGTTTCACAGCTCTGCAATCCCAGCACTTGGTAGAGGAGTGTGTGTGTGTGTGTGTGTGTGTGTGTGTGTGTGGTGTCTATCATATATGAGTTTGAAGCTGGACAGCAAAATATGGTCTAAGAATTGAAAAGTATATGTTGCATGCTGAGGATATAAGTCACAGGGAAGGCACTTGTCTAGCATGCACAGGTGCTGGGACATATGTGAGAGTGTAAACATACCAGAGAACAGGAAGCTGCTACATTACTGCTGGTGCAACTACTAGCAACTGAGCGTTTATATATAGAAAAAAAGGAGATACCCCAATTACCTACTGCTTGATGAGTAGGTAAACAAAGGGTGGTGTGTTAATACAGTGGTCTAGTTTCTAGTCATGGAAAGGGGTAGAGAAAGGATACATCCTATAACATGAATAAATATCACAAATATTAAGTTCATTTGAAAGTAGCCAAAGGACTGAAGAATGGGACACTTCTTTATTAGATGATTTGATTTCTCTTTAATACCCAGAATGAGACACTTGAAACAGAAAGTTAGATTGGTAACTAATAGGTGGTGGGGGTCTGGAGAAATGAAGAGTAACTGCTAATGAATAAAGTGATTTTTCCCAAATGACAAATTATTTTAAAAGTAAATAGAATAATGGTTGCGTTATTGTAAGAACATAGTAAAAAAATACCTACTGGGTTATATACTTTAAAAGAGTAAACTTACTACATAAATGTATTACTTCTCAATATCTACAGATCACATTTCATGTCTATGTTTTGTCTGCATATATGTATGTTCACTGTGTGCATGTCTGGTGCCTGCAAAGAGACAAGAGGGTGTTGGATCCCCTAGATATAAATATCTGTGAGCTTCCTTCCATTTGGGTGTGGTTGTAGGTTGAAGGGTTTGTGCTGAGAGGTAATGAGGACTACTTTTCTCCTCCAGGGGCATGTAGAGTACCTTCCAGTACAGTGAACTGTGGTTAGTAGGTGAATAATGTAGTTAGACACCAGCTCAACGTCTCCATATTCAGTGATAGAAGTGTTCCCTCCAGAAACAAGACCTTAACATCAGCTTGTGTGAGCAACCAAGAGCCTTGGCAATAGCCTGTGCTATTTGGTGGTTTCCATGGGTCCCTTTGGTGAATGACTCAACAGGCTGTAACCTGTTCCTGGCACTGGAGGTTTAATTTGGTGGCACAAGATATCTAGTTGAAGTCTTCTCTCCCCTGTTGTTTTTTTGTCTCCCTGTGGGTTCCTTTCACATATGTAAAGGAAGATTCTAGGATAGTCAGTGTCCATATAGTTTTTCAAAGGACCTTTAGTATTGGTTGTCCCTCTCCATTTTCCTTTCTTTACCTTTCTGCCCCATCCCCCTTTCATTAAACCATCCAATTCTAGTTTTCCTTAATAGCTAAATAACACTATAGACTTTTTTCTTTCCTTTCCTCTCCTTCCTCCTGGTCCCTTACTAGGTTCCATACCTCTGTGGGTATTCAGATTGAAGTTCCCATATCAGAATCATAAAATCCTTAAAAGAGAAAACATACAATATTTGTCTACATGTACTGAGCACTGTATGCTTTTGACGCTGAAGTCTGACATGGGCACACACAGAACACAACCTCGGTGCACAGCTGCTGAGTACCATTGTGAGCTCATAGCGCATCACTATGCCCCTAGAACTGTGTTGCTAAGGGTGAATCAGAATTCAGCTCACACTGAACTAAGGATCTGCCCAAGCAGGACGCTTATTTGGTTCAGTGGGGAATTTTAACCAGATTTTGAACGTTTACTACTGGGTTTGGGAGGGTGGGGGTGGTTAAAGGGGAAGGAAGGGAGGGGCAGTAGGCCCTGGAGGGCCAGGAGGGCCAGGAGGGCCGGGAGGGCAAGGAGGGCTGGGAGGGGGGGCAGGGTTGTCGGGAGGGCCAGGAGGGCCTGTAGAGCCTTAACATGCAGGAAGATATGGAGTATGATGCCCTAACCATTCGGGCCCCTCAGCGGTCTCCCTGGTATACCCACCTGTGGCCCGCATGCCTGGGTCGTGGGTGCTTGGGTAGAAGACAGCAGCGATTTCCTTTGTACCTAATTGGGTACGATCCCGTGGGCCGATTACAAAGGGCGGCCAGTGTGGGTGATGTCAAATTAGTCGAGAGATTGATCAATGCCAGGGAACACCGTGTTAACGAGTGCGACAGAAGGAGCAGGTAATGGGGCCTGAGGAGGGGCGAGGGGCAGGAGGGGCAGAAACTGTTGGGGACAGTCAGGGTCTACTAGGGAGAAACATATCTTCCAGATCTGCAGCCTGTGGGAGGGCAGATGTCATGCTTAAGGCTCTTCTTTCATGGAGACCTCTGGGTTTGTACCTGCTTTAAGCTCCTAGGCACCTGAAACCTGCACACCTTGGAAGGGCAGCTCCGAGGCTTTCTTTAAGAGAAGCAAAACAAAGAACTTCAGTTAGTTTACAAATCCCTTTACATTGTCTCTTTTAGAGCACTTTACTGAGGGCTTTAAAGGAATTTAGCTAAGGAAACCACATACATCTTTTTATGTGTACACTTATAATGTTTTAGGTTTGAGTGTTTTGGCTGCATGTATTTTCAGTGTACCACACAAGCATAGGAAGAGGGTGTTGGATCTCCTGGAACTGGGGTCATGGACAGTTGTGATCTGCTGTGTGGGTACTAGGAATCAAACCCAGGTCCTCTGCAGGAAAAACTAGAGCTTGTAAATGCCAAGCCATCTCTCCAGCCCTTTAATGTATATGTTTTAATGCTATGTTATATGCAACACAGAAAATTGTATCATAAGATAAATTTTCACATAAAAAGCCAACTCAAAGCCAAAAAAACCCAAAGAATTAACAAGAAATCTTATGTCTGTTTTATGCTTGCTGAGGGATTTCATAAGGAAATTTTCAACTTGAACTATAACTCTGTCCCCCGGCCCCTTATATACATGTTGTGTGTGTTTTGGTAAATACTAGAAGGCTAACGGTTGACATTCTCTTTGAAAATTTCTTTTCATCTCATTAAAAAAAATCATATGTGTGTATGCACCTGTGCCTCACACATGCCAAGCAAGTGTCTGAAGGTCAGAAGAGAACTATCGACAGCTGTGTTCTGCCACGTTGTGGATTCTGGGGATTGAACATAGGCCACTGGCTCTGCCAGTAGGAGCCCTCACCTAATGAACCACCCTGTGGTTTCTCCACCTCAGCTTTTTTTTTTTTTTACACAAGAACTTATGTTTATTGCAAACAAACAAACAAAAAGAGAGCGAGGGAGAGAGAGGATGGTGAGAGGAGCGGAACGGTAAGGCTAAGAATTGAAAAGCGTCTTACATTCTGCCCTAATGGCAGCATAATTAATAGCAACAAACGGCCGTCTCGCTGCCTGCCACAGCCGCAGGGTGTTTTTGCAGACCTGACGAGTAATTTTTGTGAAATATGTAGTATGAAGGAAGAAAGCTTGGCGGGTCTTCACTGCAGACTTGGGGCTCCCAGTGTTCCGGACCGGCATGCCCTGCATGGCCTGCCGGGACAGGTGGCTTCTCACACGTGGGTCCTCTGCAGTAGGGCTGGGAGACTTCTGTTCTTCTGACTGGGTGGGCATTTTCAGACCTCCATACTTTTTCCAGTACAGCCAACAGGTCGCACACAGTCTACACTGCATATTAGGCGGGCCCCAGGAGTATCACTGGTGAGACTGTGTGGCAAAGCAGCTCTCACAGGCTCGCCCGAGGAGGGTGTTCTGGGGCTGGATGCAGTGTTGCCCTGCTGAATGAGACAGAGTCGGTGTTGTCGTACCTTGATAAAGAGGATACCTTCTTTTACTCCTTGGTGTATGACCCTTCAGTGAAAACATTATTAGCTGACAAAGGGGAAATCAGAGTGGGACCAAAGTACCAGGCCGACATTCCAGACATGCTACCAGAAGGAGACTCAGATGAGAGGGAACAATCAAAATTGGAAGTTAAAGTTTGGGATCCCAATAGTCCACTTACGGATCGACAGATTGACCAGTTTTTAGTTGTAGCCCGTGCTGTTGGGACGTTTGCCCGCGCCCTGGATTGCAGCAGCTCCGTGAGGCAGCCCAGCTTGCATATGAGTGCGGCTGCAGCGTCCCGAGACATCACCTTGTTCTATGCCATGGATACACTGTACAGGCACAGCTATGACCTGAGCAGTGCCATCAGTGTCCTTGTGCCACTTGGAGGACCAGTCCTGTGCAGAGGTGAGATGGAGGAGTGGTCGGCCTCCGAAGCCAGCTTGTTCGAAGAGGCTCTGGAGAAGTATGGCAAAGACTTCAATGACATCCGTCAGGACTTTCTCCCGTGGAAGTCCTTGACGAGCATCATTGAATATTACTACATGTGGAAAACTACTGACAGATACGTGCAGCAGAAACGCCTAAAAGCAGCCGAAGCCGAGAGCAAACTGAAACAAGTATATATCCCAACTTACAAACCAAATCCCAACCAGATATCCACCAGCAATGGCAAGGCTGGCACTGTGAACGGAGCTGTGGGGGCCGCGTTCCAGCCCCAGAACATCCACCTCAGCTTTTTAGACAGATTCTCTCACCCAAATCCCTGCTGTGTTTGACTGATGGTCTTGGAGTATACTGATTGACCTAGACTTGCTGGCAAAATAGATTTGGGGATCCTCCTGTATCCACATCTCCAGCACCAGTTTCTCAAGGTGCTGGGGATTCTGAAGTTGGGGTCTCAGGCTTGCAGGGTGAGTGATTTTCCAACTGAGTTGTAACAATCACTGCAGCCCTCTTTCCTAGTCCTTGTTTCCTGTTTCTCACTAGATTATAGGCAGGAAACAATGACCCTCAACAGTAGATTCTCCATAGCTCACATGCTTCTTGATCATGTCTGTAGTTGTGAGGTTATTTAGTCTATAGTTATTCAGTCTTCCAAATTAGAGCTTCATACAAATAATAGAACAGTAAATTATTGTTTCAAAGTATTTTTGCTTAATATGTGTATTCTTTAGAAACACTGAATTTTCCAGCTGTATTTATCCATTCTGCCAATCCACTTATTCCCTGCACATAACTTAGATATCTACTGTACAGCATACAAATCTACTAGCTCTCAAGACCCTCTCATTCATAAGATATTACATTTCTCTGTTCAGTCAGCTTTCCTGACATTCTATAAATTTAAATATTGAAAACAATGAATGATGCTCAATTGAATCCCTAGTAATTTTTGTCTTTAAACTTTTTGAAAATCAAAGCAAGGGAGCTATGATACCATGGGTTATCTCCTTCTGGATAGATTTGCTCAGTTTTGGTGCTAATTCATGGAGGTATAAGGCAAAGCCATTTGCTACCACCTGGTGTCTATATTAACATGGACATTTTGTCTATTGACTGAGGACTATGCTGTGTCCCTGTTGGCAGCAAATATAGAAACATTAATTCTGGGCAAAGAGAAATGAAAAAAAAGTTTAAGTATTGATGACTGAAATTTTAGATTTTTGTTTGTTGTTATTGCTATTCTAAATAGTTTACATTTCATAGTCTTAAGAGCAGAAATTTACATAGATACATGTGACCTTTAGAAGTGTCATGGGCCTGTGGATTGTGTCATATTTCATTGGATGTCAGGCACAATGGACTGCATGGTGACCTTTTATTTTGTATGGTAGCAAAGTAAAAAACATTGCCAATTATAGTCATAAAATATCATGAATTATAAGTGGCAGACATCAGCGATTCTAAAGTGTGAAATAAAGAGTAAGGTGGGTGCAGTGGAACTGCCTGCATTCCTACCTACTGGGAGGATTACCAAATCAAGGCCAGCTTAGGGAATATAGTTTTAAAATATTGTAAAGATACTTGAGTAAAATCTTTCACATCTGCAGTAGGTATAATTCTGCTATTTCTCTTCATTGAAATATTGTGTTTGTTACCATTAGGAACAAATTGTAATTGTATCCAGCAACACTGAGCTGTCAGGTGCTGGAAGCATTTGTACGTGCTCTTGAAGATGTGAGTTGAAGCCTCACAGCAGCACTGTGTAAGAGAGCTGCAGTGTTGAATCCCCATTCTACAGATGGAGAGATTGATTTGTGGAGCTCATAGGAGGTCTATGTTCTAACTAGTAACACTCAGTGATTAGAGTAGGATTCAAATCCAATCTGAGTTCAATCTACTGGGCATTCTCCTGTTATCCAGAGAGGCTGCTCTGAGGAAGGGTGAAGCTTGTGATAGAGCACTCGCCTTGAATGGGACAGCCATGCGCTATATGCCTAGCACAGAAAATGAACACCTGAGTAGAGAAATAAGTAAATAAGAAAATTTTAGTTTCTTCTTTTACATCAGAAGGAAATGCACATTGGTGTCTACTTGAGTGTGCCTTTACATAATAATCTGTAATTTCCTAAAATGTCCTCTCAATTTGTAGGAGTTCACTGCACTACGCCTCTGCCCATAATCATCCTAATGTAGTAACATTGCTATTATCCAACGACTGTACCGATATTAATATGAAGGATGATGAAGGCTGCACTCCCCTAATAAAGGTAACTATCGCGAAACACTTTTGGTACAAAATGGATTAGAAATTATCCTTGTTTGGTTTTTGTTGCTGTGATGAAACACTGGCCAAAACCATCTCAGGAAAGGAAAGGTTTATTGGCTTACAGTTCCACATCACAGTCAGTCATGAAGGGAAACCAGGTCAGGAGTTCAATCAGGACCTGAGGCAGGAAATGAAGCAGAGGTCATGGGGGAATGATGCTTTCCCGTGGCTTTTTCCAAGGCTTGCTCAGATATCTTATACTACTCAGAATAACCTTCCCAGTCATGCCACCACCCCTAGGAAGCTGTGCCCTCCCAGATCAACCTCAATCAAGAAAATGCTATACATGCTTCTCAGAGTCCAGTCTGGTGGAGCCAGTTCTTCAAGTGAGATTCTTTTTTTCCAGGTGTCTTCAACCTGTGTCAAGTTATCAAAACAAGCAAATGAACAAGCAACCTCCCCCACTACAAAAATAGCTAAACGGTGCTAGTGAAATGCTTTAATATCTAGGTGTGGTGGCACACCTCTGAAACTCTACCACTTGGAAAACTTTGGTGGGGAGGTTATGAATTTAGGAAAGTCTGGTTACTTGAGAGGGATAATATGCATGACCTAAACAATTGGTCTGATCCAAGGGTAACTAGTCAATGGAATTGTTGGAATGCTTATTAAAGTTCTTGATTTCAGTGTCTCTTTCTTTATCCAATACTCACAGGCCGCCCAGCGGGACAATGTAGAATGCATCTCTATTCTCCTCATGCACGGGGCTGATCCCCACATTGTAGATGCCAATGGCGATGCTGCCCTCCACCACGCCATTTGCAGAGGGAACATACCAGTTGTCAGCAAACTGCTGGAGTATAATGTAGATATTAAAGCCAAAACAGAGGTAAGAATCATTCAACTTCATTCACAATGTACTTCTAGCAATGACACTCAGATCTCTTTCCATATTCTGAAGCTCAAGCAGTCTCACTGAATCTGTTCAGAGTAAAGCATTTTTTCCAAATCTGTTTTTCATAGTTTTGTAGGTAACTTAAAGGAACTCAGCACAGCACATTTTGTTTCAGATTTGGGCTTTCCTTTAAAATTCAACAAGTAAAGGACTTGGGCCCACACATACTTCACATACACACAAACAATAGAAAAAAATAATTTTAAGATAAATGTCTGTAGAAAAAAACAGAAATCTGTTGCAATTAAGAAGTTACTGATGTGACTTGTCCCTCAGAGATGAGGCTAGAGTGGGAAGGTCACAGGCACACAGGTAAATGTGGAAATTTGATCATTGAAGAAAACATGCTGAGAAGACATTTTCACTTAACGTTTTCAGATGTTACATGTAAATAACAAAGGGGCCAAAATGGGACTCTATCTTAGACAAGGAGCAACTCCATTGTAATTAATGACCTAAGCCTGAATCCAGGACGTTCCCCAGTCAAGTTTAGCCAATTGGCTAAACAGTTCCAAACCTGTCCTTATAAGGCTGGAAGACCAGAGTTGCAGGGTCTGGCTGCTACTGACTATATGTGGTGTTCACGGGCATTGTTGGACAGGGAAAGATGTTTCATAGGAAAGGGAAGCCCTGTGTGTGTGAATCTGCAGCAAGGGCTGAAGGAAAATCTATCCTTTTGTGACTCATTTTGTTTTCAAAATCTGTGATACATTTTTCATTTGAAAAGCATGTCAATTTATAAAATGAAATTTTTCCTTTACAGTATGGTTTGACACCCTATAAACTCGCTTTGTTTGAAAATCAACTTAAAATGGCAGAGTTTTTAATTGAAAACGGTGCAGATGCACCTTCGGAGCTTACACCAAATAGGTACCATTTCTTTTTTACAATCTTAGTGCTGTTCTTGAGGGTCTCATTGCTTAAGTAATGAACACTAAAATGGTAGAGGGAAGATGGCTTCAACTCATAAGCATATATTGAGAAAGACTAGCTCACAGGGAGTGTGAGCTGGAAAAGAGACTGTTCCAACATAAAAAAAAAGGAACAGTGTGTACCAGGGCTCAGCTTCCCATTCAAAAACACGTGATCATTTCTAATCTGATTTGATTGGCAATTTTCTACTTGTTAAGGCAATTTCACATTAATGTTGTTTACTTTGAAAAGTGTCAAGTTTATTATCAACACTGAAATGTATAATTTTATTATTTTTAGCCTGTTCCTTATATATTTGCTTCTTATATATGTTCAATTTAAATATTTTTTTTCAAATCATGTTGTCTCTTTGATCACTCACTTTGCTTTAAGTGAATTTGAGTAAGCAAATAGTTTAGGGTATCCATCAATTAGATGATATTACCAGATGCTACTATTTTCCCCTGTCCTGTCTGAACTATCTTGACACTGTGTTAGTCAGATGTGAATCTGTACACCCAAACTCCTGAAACAGCTAATCTGGATAGGGACACTTGTCCAAAATGAGTACAAAGAACTAAGACTCCATTGAGAAAATGCCTCCATAGATCTGGTTGTAAGGCATTTTCTTAATTAGTGATTGATGGATAAGGGCCCAACACATCATGGGAGGTGCTGTTCCAGGGCTCATGGCCCTGAGTTCTATAAGAAAGCAGAATGAGCAAGCCAGTAAGCAGCTCTCTTCCATGGCCTCTGTAAGCTCCTGCCTCCAGCTTCCTTCCCTGTTTGAGTTCCTGCCCTATCTTCCTTTAATGATGGACTATGGTGCAGACATATAAGCCAAATGAATCCTTTGGTCCCCAAGTTCATATTGGTCATGGTGTTTTATCACAGAAATAGCAGCTCTAAAATGGAACTTGGTATTTAAGATGATTTCAGCATTAAAAATTAAATGATTACCTTTTTTGTTCATACATGCAAGTTTAAAGTCAGATGAATTAAAAAGTAAAGCCTGTGTGTTGTGTATGTTTTTATTGAAAATACACTTTGGACATACCATATATTCTAAACATGGTTTAGCATCCCTCATCTTCATGTACTTGTTTTTGTGTCAGAGGACATGCATGCACTGATATTCCCAACCAAGACACAGTACAACACTGTGTGATGGCTATGTCTTCCATCTTATTTGAGGCATT